AAGCCATATGAGTTCCTTCATGATGATTGTGAGTTAGAAAATGTTTACACCGCTGAAACTGGTTTGGCTCAGTGGATAGAGCATCAGCCTGCGGACTGAAGGGTCCTGGGTTTGATTCCGGTCAAGGGCATGTACCTTGGTTGCGGGCAGCACATCCCCAATAGGGGGTGTGCAGGAGGCAGCTGGTCCATGTTTCTCTCTCATAGATGTTTCTAGCTCTCTATCCCTCTCCTTTCCTCTCTCTCTCTAAAAAAAAAATAAATAAATAAATAAATAAATAAAAAATCAATAAAATGTATTTTTTTAAAAAAGAAAATGTTTACAACTGCTACAAGATTGAAAAGATTGAAGTAGGTTACCTCTCAAATTAAATTATTTTTATTTCAGCTATAGTACAAACTTACAAGTCACTGTGAGAAGCCCACCTTATAGGAATATATATGTATAATAAAATATACATATTGTATAACACAAAATCCAGAAATATAGAACACCCTGACTCAGGGCTCCTGACTCATTACTCAAGAAACAAATTTAGTGTGAGTAAATGTACAAGAATTCAAAATATGCAACTGAATAGAAGTCTCTTTATACAACAATAGAAGCAAACAAGCTCCTGTGGATTTAGCTGTTCAAAGCTAAGTCTTTATCAAAAAGCATTCCTTGGATAAAATGGTTGTTATGTTTCTGTTGGCCTTTAGGAAATCCCTCAAAATAATCTTCCAGATGTTTCAAAGAGCTGACACAATGACACTGGCTGCATGAGTTAAAGAAAGGAAAGAAAACAAAGCTGATTTTGTGCCCATTAAAATTAGTTTTAAACCCAACTTAATTTTTAATTTTGGATTATTTTTCTAACCTCACATTCTATTCTGCCAGTGTTTTAGTGCCCAAGTATAAACTTTTACACTCTGCTAAAACTGTTGAAGCGATGGGTGGTACCAGTTGATCTCAATTCATTAGTCAGAATTATCAGAGAAAGAGAGAAAATGCCAAAGGAGAGTTGTGATTATTATCATAAACGTAGAAAATGTTAATATAAGCAATCTTCTCACCATTACACTAAGTTAACAATTTTTATGTCATCACATTGTATTGTATATTCAAGAATAGTCCATTGTTAAAAAGCAGCATGTCACGATTTGAACTTCTTTCTTTCTAAACTCTCAGATATGGTACAGAAGAGGTGGATAAGAAAACTGTTGACACTTTTTAAAGTGGATGAGAAATGTAGACTACATAGTTCTACATGATGATTTTCAAGCTTTATAGTGAAAAGAGTAGTAAAAGTTGTCACTAATTCTCCTAGCCAAGGTGACTACTCTATTATTAGTATACTAGTGGCACAGTGCACAAATTCATGCACGTTTAAAGGAAATTAATTAGAAGACATATTTTAATATCGCTATTTGCCCTTTATGATAGAAGTGTCAACCAAATTCTCAATCAACAATGACAGATCAAAACAGCTCCAGTGAGAGCTGTATATATATATAGAGAGAGAGAAACTTGCTCAATTAGATCTGCTTTCTGATTTAGCTAAACTTTTTCCAGCCTAGTGAAACACTCCAACTTCTCTTTCAGGTAATTGTCAGCAACACAGGAGTAAATATCAATAAGAAGCAGATTATTATAATAGATTACGCAGGGAAAACAAAGGGTAAAATATTTAACTGCAGCAGTGTTTGACTATATTCTGCGCAGTGAGAAAACCTAAAGTCATTTTCAAGGTCTCCCATTTCTTCTTTTCAGTTGGGTCAAATTTCTAAGCTTTCTAAATCTCCATTTTCTGGCTAATGAAAAGAAATAGGATTCCACTGAGTCTCCTATCTACCTATTCCAGGACTTCTGCAAGTATCAAATGAGACGAGGCATGGGAAAACGCTTCACAAACATTTGGTTAAAGTGTAAAATGGTAACTGGCTATAAAGCAAGCCATGTTCCCGGGCTGAAGAAACTCCAAGGAGGCTAGTCTTTAGGGAGAGGAAGCCAGGCATTGCTACATGGTGTCATTACCTGGAGCCCACAGCCACCATTTCCTGGCTGGGCTGGGCTGTGGGCCACATTTTGCACCATGGAGTCTCAGCAGCATTGGCTGCAATTTGGTGGGGTGTCACTCTGGGGTGGTGGCAGGGCCTGTGTCTCACTTGGGAGAAGCCGAGTGTTGCTTTGTAGGTGCCAGATCCACAGTGCCATTTCTCTATAAATGGCCAGTGCACTTCAAGGCAGCTCCTCGTTTAGCATCTTCCCCCTGGTGGTCAGTGTGCGTCATAGTGACCGGTTGGACAGTCAGACACTTAGCACATTAGCCTCAGAATATATGTATATGTATTCTGGAAATGAATGACTATTAGAAGCTACTGGTAGCCAGCTAGAATGTGCCTATGCCTGTGTATCACTATTGAGCTTGAGTTGGGAGGCAATTTCTGTAATTCCTACCCTGCATTTAATCTTTGCTACTGTTTAGCAGCCTTTGATATGTAGATGACCTACATATAGATCAAAACCTAACAATTATAACATTCCATAAGTATACTGAATATAAGAACCATAAAAATACTAGTTCTTAAAGTCTAATCAATCCAACACTTATAGCAGGTTCTCCTTATATATAAGCACTAGGTGCTGAGAGGTCTGAGAATCTGTAAGATATATATAAAAAATATTTTAAACTCTTATAAGGTTGATTCCAAGTCCAAAAACATTTATTAATATTTAAAAAAAAACTCTACCTAGGGAAAAACTTAGTTAATGCCTTTTTATTGTTAATTATTTATTTTTTAAATGATTAGCTTACTACATTTGAGTAATCACTTGTATAAAAATTTTATTATGAAGACCAATTATCATAATGGCAATCTACTTATATTTTTTTTCCCGTAAGTTTATCAAAGGGCATAGAATCTCACAAATCTGAACTTTTATTCTGGCCATACAGTGATTTATTTTTTTCTTTTTTTTTTTTGGTCACCCAGTGATCTTAAACAGAGCATGCAGTCTTCTTCAACTCCATTCAGTTTTAATGATTGAAACTCATGTATTCAGTTGGTTAAATACCAGCACGATGCTTCTTCCAACTTTAAAGTTCACTCTGGGAGGCAAGTGCCTCCGGGAAGAACCACTGATGTTTCGGGCCTGAGAAACAGGATTAGGCATGCAGGTCCTCTGAAGCATGGGTTGATGCAGGAGCTGAACCACGCACTAACTTGGGATATTGGCACATTTCTCAATTTCTCGGCACTTCTGTAACTTTATACATAGTGAAGGAGTGGTAATGATCCCCATCTCACAGGATGGTGGTGAGAATGAAATGACACAATTCACACACAATCCTTATACCAATACTTTGCTCCTAATGACTCCATAGTTACTGATTATTAACTACTAATAAAGTTTTTTGCAAGTCTGACTTATTTTACATTATTCACCTTATCAATGCAACATTCTTGTGTTATTCACTAGCATATAATCAGATAACATTTCCTTTTTTCCCTTAATATCTTTGTTTTCAAACTTTCCATGTAATTTTCATATTTATTTTCTGTTCTTTTCTTAAGGTGATTTTTAAGTACAGGCAAATAAACAAATTGGACATGTGCAATATGAAGGGTTGTAAAACATCCATATACTTCAGTGACTGATATGTTAATCAGAATAGAGAACATTTCCATAATCCCAAGAAGTTTCCTCTCTCATCCATTTCCAATTAACTTCCCTTTGACCACAAAAAGGCTATGTTCTGATTATTTTAACCATAGATTAGTTTTATCTGTTCTAGAAATTCAACGAGACTATAAAACTAAAAGAGGTATCTTACCTTAACTCTTTAATTCATGATATAAATTTCCAAACAAATACCAACATATAAAAATGTGAAATGTATATAATATGCTAATTCCATTAACACTTTTATTTGATATCAATTTAGCTTTTATAATTGACATTTAATTTAAGCTGAAAATAAGCTGTCTTGAATATTAGAGGATATTAAAACCGCCAGGATATTTACCTGCCAACTTCAGAATAGAGAAGTCTGAGCCCCCTGCATTCCTCTCATTAGTTAAGGTATGAAAGAAGCCAAAGGTATATCATAGAAAAGGGAACAAAAAGAAATCTTTGAGCGTAAAACTTGGCATTCTCTGTCTTCTCTCTCACATGTAAGTATATACATATATGTTTTACACATACATATACATAAGATTATTGAGTATAACTTACATAAACTTTGCTTTTATTGTAATTTTTTAAATATATTTTATTGATTTTTTACAGAGAGGAAGGGCGAGGAGAGAGAGAGAGCTAGAAACATCGATGAGACAGAGACATCGACCAGCTGCCTCCTGCACACCCCACACCAGGGGTGTGCCTGCAACCAAGGTACATACCCTTGACCAGATTCAAACCCGGACCTTTCAGTCAGCAGAACGACGCACTATCCACAAAACCAGTTTGGCTCAATCTCATAAACTTTGCTTTTATATTAATTTAAATATTAAAAGCAATTAGCTTAGCATATTTCATATCTGAAATAGTTCTCACATCCTTTTAAGCCTTTCATACTACCTTAAAATAATAAAATATGAACATGCTTGAGATGTTAAAGGTATACATCAGTGTGTTAATTTTTGTGATGATATCTTACTGTTTTTAAAAATATATATCCTCTAGGGATAAACTAATTGATAGCAGCTATATGAAATATTTTTTTCTTTTTTTAGAGATTGATTTGTTTTAATACAAAATTGATTACAACATGCAGACCAAAATCTCATAATTATACTCCTAAGTAGTTGATCATGTAAGAAATGGAATGTAAATTGCATATACACATACAGTATCTATTTTCCTCACAAAAATAATAAGTGACTGGTCTTTGTGTTCTATAATATTTTTATTAACTAATGCCCATACAATGAACATGTCAGTGAAGTCAGCATGTATTTCTAAATAAAAGAAATACAGTAATTAAAAAGAAAATCTGAAAACGTTTACACACTTACCTTTGTAGGTTAGCTTGAGCCGTGGAATATTTTGCTTAGAAGTTCCAATGACCGGAAGAAACAGCATGGTCATGCTTAGCATCATCAACGCATGAAAAAAGTAAAAATAGTAGCTTTTGGACTTTGGTCTCTCATCTTTATTAGCATTCATGATGAAAACAATGTTCTCTTTGAAACAGTGGAAACAAGCTAAAAATAAGAAAAGAACTATTATTAATACAGCATTTTGCAGATTTTTCCAAGTCTTAGTCTTAAATTTATGAATGTATATAGATTTAAAAACAACTGCTCCTTCTCTCTTGTTTTGCTCTTACAGATTTTTGCCAGTGAAATGAGTCAGAAATGAATAATAAAATCCATGCCTGGCTTTACTCAGTTGTGGAAATGAGTGTATAACTTAAAATCAACAATTTATGCTAATTAGCATATCTTCTTCTAAAGCTATTTATTCAAATGTAGAAGGAGCCATTTCTTCCTGTAATTTGAATTCTTTAATCAGATAAAAACACTGGCAGAAGCCTACTCTTTTCCCATATTATTGTCAAAAGAAGAGATCCCCCAAGCAAAAACAAATAAAAGCTATCTTCTTGAAGAGTTCTTCTCTTGTGACTTTAAAGATATTTACAAAGTCTACCTCAAATTGGGAAAATTAGAGATGAACAGGTCAGGGCCTGAGACGATGTAATCTTAGTTGCACCATATACAGTTATACACAGGAGAGCACTGAATAGAAAAACTAACTGTAAAATAAAGGGTTTGTAAGAGAAAGTAGGTGGTTATTAACAAGGTTGCTATAAAGAAGCTGCCTTGGTTATCTTTGTTAAAATATGAAAAAAAAAATCAAAACTCACATATTTTAAACTAATCCTAATAATAATAATAATTACAAATTACATTCATTGAGAATTTATATATACTAGTGGTTTTTTTTTTAAATTGCTTTACATAGATTAAATGACAATGCTAGTAAACTAATTAAAGAAGAAGGGCATTAGATTGGCATGGCTCTAATGTCATGATGGTTAGTAAACCTAAATCTAAGCCTATGAATGACTCAAAATTATGAACTCAAAACACCAAAGACAACCAATCACAAACATCCAACTAAACTTTAAAATATAGCCAATGAAAGAATTTACTTTCTGCCCAGCCAGTTTGGCTCAGTGGTTGAGCATCCACCCATGAGCCAAGAGGCTACCAGTTCTATTCCCAGTCAGGGCTCATGCCTGGATTGTGGGCTGTATCCCCAATAAGGGACATGCAAGAGGCAGCCAATCGATGTGCTTCTCTTTTATGATGTTTCTATTTCTCCATCCTTTCTGCACTTTCTCTATATGTCTTCTCCCTGACTCCTGATGGTAGAGTGCTCATAGCCATTTCTGGTTTGGTGCTGCTCTAATTAACTTTTGCTCAAACAAACACACACACACACACACACACACACACACACACACACACATACATGTGTGTGTGTTTATATGCATGCACATATATATATATGTATACATATATATGGATATATAAGCATATATAAATACATATATATGAATGTATGTATTTAAACCCTAGCTAAAGCCTAAGTATTTATTAAGGTAAGAATAAAGATAAGATTCTTTTCTGAAAAGAAAGTACCATGAAATAATTTCTAAAATTGGGATATTTATGGGATGTTAGGGATGACAGCTCAAGAGAGTATCACATAGGTTTAAGCAAGACTAGGGCAGTTTCATGGAGGGCAGATAAAGGCGAGTGGGATACAAAAAGAGGCAGTTCCAGAAAACAGGGAAACCTACTTAAGGGTTTATGAAAAACCAGAAGCATGATAGACATAGTTAAATTGCTGAGGGGAAACAGAGACCTTGCGTAGTCCGGTGGGGCAGAAAAGAAGGGACACCAATGAGGAACTTGAGCTAATTCTTCAATGTGTCTCATGCCTGTCCTGGTACCTAATATATTATGACACAAACTATGCTGTTACTGCACACTGCCTTTGACATTACATCATGTGAGCTGCTTCTATCCATATTCATCAGGTTTCTCTAATCCCACTTGCCTGTTCCTTTCACTTTTCCCTATACCCACTTGTTGGCAGAACACAGCTATCTGATTGCAGCAGATCCACAGCCTTGACATACAAGCATGTATTCGTCCACCTAGTCATACCCTTTGAAAAAGAAGTGAAAGGCAAATTGAATGTAGAACTTAAGTAGGTATTAAATTTCTCATTAGGCTTAGTTGTTTCTGAGCCTCTGGACATGTGAAATACTACTTTTTTTTTCATGACATGCAACATTGCATGTAATGTGAATGTATGTTTATGCAGAGGCAAAAGAGAGGAAATTTTCCATGTGTGCATTTTATTAGCAATAATGACTTCAGAACAGGACATTTCCTGGGAATTAATGGCCAGTTGGGGTTAATGGCCCTTGGCTATGTATTGAGATATCTACTCCTCCAACTGGTCATTAATCGCTATGACATGCCCTGTGCCTCCAACACTATAAGTTAAGAAGATTGATGTTTGGTTTTCAATGAACAGTAGTCATACTGTTCCTTGTAACCCAACTCATTAATATTGTTAAATAAGTTAAATATCAAAGGACTGCTTTCCTTGCTTCTATGACATTCTGATAAGTACCTACACGTGCTGAAACATATGCTAAGGGTGAGGGACAAAATAAAACACAAATCCTGAACCTGCTGGAAAGTTTTATTTGACTTTAAATATTGTTTCTACTATAAAACAGTCAACTCTCTAAAATCAGCTGCTCCTGATTCTTTGTTTTCCTTCCCAACAATCTTTTGAATTCAATTCTTTATCTTTTAATTGAAATAATTTATGGGTAAAATGTATTGCCAACAACCTCTCCACTCATCCATCGACATTTTGCTATCTTCCAGTTCATGTTTGTGTGTGTCTGTGTGCTCGCGCGCATGCATGCATTTTGTTTGCACACTTATGTGTGCCCTGCATCTGGGAGGAATTATAGAGAGAAGTAGGTGCGATTTAACCTCAAGTGGGTGGATTTAGTGAATTGCATAGGTTATACTGCATGCTACTGTCTGTAACAAGCTCGACCTGGAGCCAATTAACTGCATGTAATCTGTTCCAGATGTTCACTGGGACAAATAGCACTCTTGGGGATCTTCAGATGTAAAGCCAATAGGGAGTGTTCTGATTATGAGAGGTTTTTACACTGTTCCACTAAATCAGAGATCCAAATGCATAATCTAACACTCAAGAAGGCCTTGTTCTGTTTTATAAAAGAATGCTGAGGCCAGAACTTAATAGATGGATGGTATCTCCTCAAAAATATTATTTGAGGAGTAGGGATATACAATTTTATATGTGAACTACATTGATTTGCCTTATTTAGTTATATTCATTTATTCCAAAAATCATTAAGGCAAGATAATGTATTATTATGGTGAAAAAAGTAGATTCAATACATAGGGAAAGAATTAAAATACATAATAAGTCTTCCCACATGAAAATCTTTAACACTTAGATTTCAGATTCTTTTTCAGGGATGTGTGTGTAGGTATGTAGGGGAAGGGAGGAAAGTAATCCTTATGTGTGTGGTTTTATTTTTTTTTAATTTATAAAGAGCTACTTGTTCTTCACACCTTGTAGCACACGTAGGGTCACCTGATATTTTTTTGTTGTGGTTGTTATTGCTTGATTAGATGGTTTTCCTATTGGGCACACAAGATTGAATTATTAGAACCATTACTTCATAGCAAAAATATGGACAAGAAACCAAGTAGAAATTATAGAAGAAACTTATGAGCCAAAGAGACAGTATAGGTGAACAGAAAGAAGCTTTATTTTAGCAGAGGGATATTTTATATTCTAGTGATATCAAAGAAGGCAAGTGGAATGTATAAAGATCCATCGGGATAGGGATTGGAATGCTAACAGTTTCATATAGTTATTTTATTTCATCCTCTCTAAATGTCGTGTGTTTTTAATATACTACTGAAGTGTACAGCACTCTTACCGATGAGTAGAATTTATAGGGCAGCAATTTTTGGTTGAATAATTTTAACTCTCCATTAGTGGACTTTATTGTCTTCAGATCTCATAAATTCCTCATCAATTGATACATTCCCATAGAGTCTGGAAGACCTTCTGCTTTTTCAGATATCATGTAGAAAACACTTATATTAATTAAATGTTAATCTACTTCTTAACATCCTTATGATAATAGCGAGTGATATTTCACCACATATCAACCTAAGTATGAATTACTAAGTATTACATTTCAGTAATCAGTTGTCAGTAACTTGTCAGTAAAGATAAATCATACTAGTTTACATTTCTAAAATATGCTGAAAGTATATTGTTGTGTAAATACCTGCTCCACAAAGCACCATTGTTATATGTTGCTTAGGTTTGTGTGTCTTACAGCTTTGTACTTATAGCCAGATGAAATTCTTCAGAATCTTACTGTACTGAATCCATCTCAACAGAAAATAATATAATAGTGATATTTCAGAACGTATGTGTGCAACCTGTTAGATTTAATATTGCAGATTGCATTTTCTTCCTGAACATAAGAGTAACAACAAAATAATTCTTATGTTGTAAAGAGGTCCTAACGAAACCAGAGTCCCCAAGGTCCAAACTGTTCAAATACTTAGTACATTAACATAAAAATAATAAAATGCTACTATAAATGATATTTTTGCTAATCATCTTCCTTATCCTAAATATCATTTCAACTTGCTACTCAAAGCAGAGCATTGAGAGTTACCAATTGGCAGGTCAGAGACAGAACCAACAACACAATTAAAGTTGGTCTCCCTTAAAATTTAATTAATCCACAACTCAAATATTTAAGATTTTCCTTTTCAAATTCTCACTCTAGAGAGCATTTTAATCCATGCACCTTTTCATGACCAATATGATCTTATTCCACACCCTTTGGTATTCTGATATGTTTTTTGAGAATTGTAGAATATTTATAGATATTTTATGGAAATATTTGTATAAATTATAGGAAAATCATCAAATTTCAATGTCTGCCTTTTGTGTGGACATCATAGATGTTTATTATTGAAACTGATTGTTTTGTTAAAACTTAACATCCTTCACCTTAAATATTCTGATATGTGCTGCCTACTGTTTAAAGGAATTTATTTTATAAGTAAAATATGGAATAAAGCAGATTAGAAATTACTTCAAT